CCTCATATTACAGTTTTAGTACAGGGTGAAACTAATACTCTCGACGCCCATACAACAAAAGGAACGACGGCTGAAGAGAAAGACAAGTTTGTATCTTGATTTTTCATCAACGAAGACGAGGAAATATGAGGCGCAAGAGAAAGTGGGAATGATTGCAATTTGCTCCTGAGACAGCAGTGACACTGAAGGACATCGATATGATTGCAATTTGCTCCTGGAACAGCAGTGACACTGAAGGACATCGATACTCGACTAGTATCTATTCACGGATTACTCATAGCAAGCTACACAGTTGCAACCCGCTTGCTGGTCCATGCAAGGGGTCACAACGGACGATCAGTGGCGGGGTTCGTGTCGTCGAGCTTCTCACTGCGAGATCGGTTCCTTGTCGAGCTGCTGATTCTTCATCAGTCTTGCCCTCCGGTCTGAGTACCAGGAATAGGCGTACTTGCCTGTCCTGTAGCTCCCGTACGCCGCCGTACCGACGACAGCCGCACCGACGCATGCTACAGCAGCTGTTGTGGACAGTCCCAACATGCCGGTTGCTCCAATGCTCTGAAGCGTCGCTACCATTCCCCCTGATGCCATGGACGCGACTCCTCCTCCAGAAGCGACGGCTGAGGCTGACATCATAGACGCTGCCGTGCTGCCTGCGGCGATGCCAGTGCTGGTGAAACCAATCGCTTGCACTCCAGCCACAGCAGCGGCAGGAGCAAGCATCGCACCGCCCAGAGCCCCTCCTCCTGCAGCTGCCGCTCCTGATGAGATCCAAGGGCCTCCACGTCTAGCACTCTCAGTTGCCTCCTTTAGATCTGTGTCTTCCCACTGCACGATCCATTCAGCCGGAAGCTCCTCCACCCGTCTCAGCACCGCCTCCCCGTCAGACCCATCCAGACAAGTCAGAGGTTTCTTCTGATCAGCGTCAGCATAGAAGATCGGTCCGTTGTCAAGCTTCTGATCCTTGGCAAAAACGCGAACAAACTGTTGGTCTTTGACCTTGAATGCAAACGAACCATCGACCTCAACATTGAAGGACTCCATCGCTTCCTCTGGCAGCGGAACAGTATCCTCAGCAGCAGCAGATGTTTCTGGTGGGTTCATCGCACTTTCACCTTTGTCGGTGCTCGTTGGCGCCATGCCTTTCCCTGTTGCGGCTTTTCTTTACTCAAAGTTAAGTTAAAAATCAGTACGAGGCCCGTGACCGGGCCGGCGGGCCGCGGCCGGGGCCCAGTTCAGTTCAAGTAGTCAAGCCTAGTCATAAGTTAGGTTAAAAATCAGTACGAGTTTCACTGAAAGTCAGTAGTGAGTTTACAGTACTGAAAGAGTAGAGGAGGCTTGTCGGACCCTGAAAAGGCTGTCGCACATCATGGCATGCCATAGTGGCGAGAAGTGATTAGGTATACCCCCAAACTGCGGCGAGAAGAGAAAAGACAGCGAGAACCGACCCTCATCATCCTGCCCACTGATGTCCCGGCCGGGCCGCGAGAGTCCCGGCGCCGGTCCGCCGGTGACCGTCGGAGTCCCGAGTCCGGTACGGTCGAGTCCCGGTCCCCGGGCCGGGCCCTCACTAGTCCTTTATTTTACTCTAAGTTAAGTTAAAATGGAGGAATCTGGCTTTTCGTAATGCAGCGACAAAATGCAGCTGCAGCATTCATGGATGACGGTGATGCACAAGAGACAGAGAAAAATGATAAAAGTGGTAAAACAATGGGATGGCTGCTACAGC